CCCGGCCCCTCTTGCCCTGTTCCTTCCCCGAGGTTCTAACCCTCTGCCTCACAGCTACAACCCGCCTCCTGGAGCCATCCCTGTCCCCGCCCAACCCTCGCCAACTCTCTTGCCCCCCTCGCTCCTAGCACTGCTGACCGGAACCGATCCGGGACGCAGCCAGTGCGCCAGGAACTCCTGAGGACCCCCCCAAACGGGCCTCGGGAGATTCCCAGGAGCGCTCCCACGCAGCCCACAAACTGCTAAGACACCGCAGTGCTTGCGGTCTGGCCCAACCCAGAGGACGAGCGAGGAGCCGGAGCCGGAGCCGGTCCCGGGAAGAAACGTCTATGTAGAGACTGTGCCTGCGTTCTCTCGTGGAGGCGCCCAGGAACTGCTCCTGCAAGACCCGCCTGCTCTTTCTTTTCTTGAAACATAGTGTCTCCCTCGCCCCGCCCGGCCCCGGGCCCCAGGGAGGAATGTAACATCTTGTAATGTGGCAATCACTGACAAACCAGTACCCGGGAGGGGAGCTCCCGCCAGGGAGGCCTCAGAGGGGCGCGGGGCCTCCGCATCCCCCCACCCCCGCGCCGGTTTGTATTTAGGGGAAGGGGCGGGGCAGCGGGTAACGCTGGCGGGTCAGATCCCAGGTAGGGAGGGAGGATCTGACCCGGGGGAGGCTTTCCTGGGGCTGTTGTGGGTGGCTTGACCCCGCCAGAACCCGGCAGTCTCCGCAGAGCCCAGTCTGACGGGGCCAGGGGCGCGCCCCGCACCCGCTTGCCGGACATGGGACCCCAAAGTGGAGTACAAAGGGACCGGTGTTTTAGGAGGAAGAGAGAGCTTAATTCTCAGAGGTTTCTGACCTTACAACAGACTTAAGGGACTGGTGGTCGTTGTTCCTTGGCGGGAAAGGAGCGGGCTGGTGTCCTTGGAGCGAGTGCTCTGGACTCGGACGGGGTAGAAGGAGGCAGGAGGCGGTGTCGGAATGCTCCTGGGTTTTACAGTCAGTAAGGATGACTTTTTTTTTTTTTAAGGCAAAGGGGCTTCTGCTCCCCGTCCCCCTTCGCGGGGAGGGGGGGGTGTTCTAACAGTGGAAGGGACTATTCATCCACTCCCAACACTCCTCACTTTATCCCTTTTCCTCCTCCCCCTTCCACTACACAACTGTTTGTAAACAAAGCTGCCGTCTGATGGGGCTCCCTCCGCCCCCATCAAACTTGATACGTCTCCCAAACTCGCCCCACCCGTCTCGGAAATCCTTACACAGGACGGATATTCACAATTTTCACAAGTAATCCTGAAAGGAGGCTGAGGGGAAACTTCCTAAACGGTCCCACATTGCAGCCGCTCTGATTAGGCCCAGGATTCGCTCCCTTTCTTCTCTGCACTCCCCTGCCCGCCAGCCGCAGGAATTCGGCGCAGCGGGAGGGGTGTGTGTCCACGCTC